GATATGAAATCATATATTTCTGTATATATATTAGTCCCCTTCAATGACTGTTTTCCTATGATAGCTTCTTGAAAGCAGAAGAACAGGATATGGATGACTCATACTTTTAATATTGGTAGGTGAACTCAATCTAAATGTACAATTTTATGCTCCAACCAACAGTGAACAGTGAATAGTGAATAGGAACCATTCCACCATATTTTTGCCAAAAGTTGAGATCATAAATTTTACATACATGTTTTACATATATTACAGAAAAATACAATATTTCACCCAGTTGACTTCCCTTGGGTAGTAAAGTTAATTACATTTTCTTAGGAGCACTTTTTTAAATAACACAAATTGTACAAATGCCTGTGCCATTGTTTTCATTGGATTGCTTATCTTTTATTTACTGATGTGCAGAAGCTCTTGTCTCTTAAAACTAGTTAGAAAACTGTGAGTTTATCATTTGTATTTTTAATGTTCTCTATGTTCATTTCTCCATATAGATAATTTAAGAATGATTTTCTTAATACAATTAAGATACAATTAATGCTATTCTGAAAACTAACTGCATAGTCACTTGTTATTTGGTATGAAGTTAGTCTTGCATTTTTGTTTTCTAGTATAATTTTTATAATTTAGTAATTAGCAGTGCCTTTGAGGTAACACATAAAATCACTGAATTTTGCTGTTACTTCAGTGTTCAATTTTTGGTAACCTGTATATTTTTCTCCTATTGATTCACTTTCAGTACATTCAATTTTTAAAGCATCTATTTCACTTAGAAATTCAAATTTTGAGGCCTAAAATTATACTCATTATAAATCACCCCACTATGCAAATAAAACCACAGGGTTTATGGCAAAAGTGAGATTGCAGCAGAATACAAAAAAGGGTGATTTTTAACTTCTGAAAATATTATGCATGTTACTAATGTTATCACTTCCTTATTTCGGTATTGTTTTAGCTGTTTTAAAAAAAATACCACCTTAACAGTGGCTTAAAGAAGGTGGACTGCAGGAGGGAGAGTTCTCAAGGAATGAGGAATTAGAAGAGCTCTTTTCCACAGTCATTCAGGGCCCCCTTCTCCTCCTGCCTGTTGTTTTGTCAGCCCTTCCGGTGCTGCATACACCTGTCTTGCCATCACTAAGCTTAGGTCTTAGGGAGGAAGCAAAAAGAAGTAGGATGATGCCCCAGTCTTTCCTCTGAAGATACAGCCTAACGCTTCCAAATGTTTCTTCCATTTACATGTCATTTGCAAAGACTTAATCCAAGCATATGGTCACATATGCCTGCAAGAAACACTGAGAAATGAAGTTTCTAGCTGGTCAGTCATTGTTGAAGTTAGATAATCTCTTATTTAAATGAAGAAATGGCGGGGATATCAGGAAACAGCAGTCAGTGCAGAGAGCGTTTTTTCTCTTTCTAATGCATATGTTTGTTTTCTCTTTTTTCCTTAGTCATTGGGCCTTGTATTGTATTGTTTTTGTTTGTTTTGATTTAATGAATTTATACTTGCTTTCTGATTCATTAGCTTCAGGCTTTGGGTTAATTGCTTCTACTTGTATCCTTGTGATTCATTTTTTGGTACTTTTCCTGCTTTACAATATCAAAATTATGGTTATTGTCACCATTTCTTAAAAGCCTTGTAAGCTATAATTTTTCCTTGAAGTATCCCTTTAGCCTCCTCTCATAGCATCTCATATGACATGACTCATTTCCAGTTATTCTGTGATAACTTATAGTTTTAACATAGTTTCAGATGTTGTTGTATATGATTGAAATCTCTTACAAGTACATGAAAAAAATTCCTAAACATGCCTAAGACCACATGCAACCTCGAGCCTACTTGACTCATTACCTTCTTTATTATTTTCCTATTGTGTCTTTATTTAGTTGACTATAAATCCTTAAAAATCAGCATAGGGAATCACCATGTATGATCACAGAGTTTATAACCTAATTACCTACTTTTTAACTCCTGATGCATCTTTTTGAGCTTCATGATATTAATTGGGTTTCTTGGTTTCTCTAGCCTTCACTTCCTTTCTGGCTGAGAAGTAACTTCGGTTGCCTAATTGGAAAGATTATTTGTGACAAAAAAAAAACCCACCCACAATGAAGCACCTAAATGAATGACAATTGGTGATTTAATTATTTGGGGAAAGACTTGAATGAAGAAATGTAATCATATTTTCCCATGAAACCTCAGGATTTGTTCACTGACATACATGTTATATTTGCTCATGAGTTTTATTTTTAAAAATATTTCAACATTAGGCATAGGATGAATAAAGGCATACTTGTGTTACTATTCTTTTGATTGTTCGTTAGTCACAAATCTAAACAATTGACAAGGATAGGTCAGCAACCCAGAAAAGTTATTTCCTGTCTCTCCCCTCTTCTTGATTAATTGTACATGGAGCTACAACTGGAATGAGTAAAGTGGTTCTTCATTAAAATCTGTATTAGAGTTTTAAAATATCAATTTTAGTTAGTAATTACTATCACACAAAGGGATGGGAGTAACTATACTTTTTAGTTTTCAAAATATGCTTGTGTTTCTTACCAAAATTATTGATGGTGTTGATGAGAGCTTATAATTGTCTTTGTGCTATTGGAATACTGAAACAATGGATAATTTTGGAATTGGAATGATTCAGTCTTAGTTGCTGAAAGATATTTTAGTGGGAAAACAATCCATGTGAGGCCAACAAGGGAAAAAAACTAATCTTCCAAACAAAATTATTATTATTATAAGTTACCCATTTAGAGATGAACTGACAAAATACTGCAACCTGGAACTTTAAAATGAATTGGATTATCCACTACTTTTAGCCATTTGGGGGAACATTTACAGCTTGAATGAAATTAGGGTCAATTTATCACTCTTGTCATTTTCAGGTTTTTGGCCTTCTTCTATAAAGTTATCATGTCTGAATTTAATTCTACCCATGCAAAAAACAGGTGTTGGCATATTTATTGGAAACATTCAGGTTAAGTTTCATTGTAATTGAGAGCAGACTGATACAGTTTACTGAGTGTGCTTTTCGACTTTTATTCTCAATTTTGTGTTCCCAGGAGTTATTGTGAGCAGTGCATCACCCTTCAAATTCTTTCAGAACCAAAGAACTTTTATTTGCCATAGCCTTCTATGCTATCCTCCCCGTCTCAGTCTGACGGGGTGTAAAGATGCATCCTGAAAAAATTTTAGCACAAAGCCCAAAGGATTACTGACATCACATAAAATGTAACTGAACTACTAGTTAATGAAGTTTTTCTCTTTTATGTTTTTCCCTATAATGTCAAAAGACACATGAATTGATACAGATTGTTCCCCAGTTTTTTTGAGAAATGACAAATAAAAATTGTGTAAATTTAAGGAGAACAATGTGGTAATTTAATATACGTATATATCATGAAATGATCACCACAATAACTTTAATTAACACATCTCTCACTTCACATTATTTGCCAACTTTGTGTGTCTCATGAGAACATTAAGATCTACTCTCTTAGAAAAGTTCAAGTGTAAAACACAGTATTATTATTGTTATAGTCACCACGCTATCATTGACATATTATTGTTACAGTCACCATGTTAGATATTAGATCCCTCGAATGTATTCATCTCGTAACTGAAAGTTTGTACCCTTTGACCTACATGCCCTCATTTCCCCCTCCTCCCAGCCCCTGGCAACCACCTATCTTCTGTTTCTATAAGTACAGCTTTTGTAGATTCCACATATAAGTCCAATCATACAGTATTTGTCTTTCTCTGCTTGACTTATTTACTTAGCAGAATGCTGTCAAAGTTCTTTAATGTACAAATGACAGAATTTCATTCTATTTTTTTGCCTGAATAATATTCAATTGCATATATGTACCACATTTTCTTTATCCATTTATCCATTGATGAACACTTGTTTCCATGTCTTGACTACCGTGAACAATGCTGCAATGGACACAAAGGTGCAAATATTGCTTCAAGATAGTGATTTTATTTCCTTCAGATATGTACTCAAAGGTGGGATCACTGGCGCATACAGTAGTTCTATTTTCATTTTTTTTTGAAGAACTTCCATATTGTTTTCCATAACGGCTCTACCAATTTACATTCCCACCAACAGTGCACATGTTCTCTTTTCTCATCAATTATTATTATAGCTTATCTTTTTTGATAATAGCCACCCTAACAGATATGAGGTGACATTTCAGTGTGGTTTTCATTTGCAGTTTCCTGATGATTAGCATTATGCTCAACATTTTGATGTATTTGTTGGCCACTGTATATGTTTTTGGGGAAATATCTATTCAGGCTCTTTGCTCATTTTTTAATTTGATTATTTGTTTTTTGTTACCAAGTTTCATGAATTCCTTATATGTTTTAGATATTAATCCCCTACCAGATATCACAAATAATTAGAAAGATATCTCTTATTCATGAGTTGGAAGAATTAATATTACTAAAATATTCATACTATCCAAAGCTATCTATAGATTCAGTGTGATCCCTCTCAAAATTTTCCGATGGTTTTTTTTTTTTACAGAAATGGAAAAAAGACCCTAAAATGTATATGTAACCACAAAGATCCCAAATAGCCAAAGCAATCTTAAGAAGGAAGAACAAAGCTGTAGGGATCACACTGGATTTTAAACTGTAATACAAAGCTTCAGGAATAAAAACAGCATGTTACCGACTTAAAGAGACACAGACCAAAGGAATAGAATGGAAAGCCCAGAATTAAACCCAGGTATATACAGTCAACTAATGTTTAACAAGACAACTAAGGATACACAGTGGGGAAAGGATGGTTTCTTCAATAAAAAGCATTGGGAAAATGGATGTTCACATGCAACATAATGGTTTTGGACCTCTGTCCTACATTATTCACAAAAATTAATTCAAAAGCCTTAAATGTAAGACCTAAAACCAAACAAACAAACAAACAACAAACCCCCCAAAAACACTTGGAAGAAAACATAGAGTAAAAGCTCTTTAATGTTGGTTGTGGCAATGTATTTTTTTTTAATATGACACAAACAGTACAGGCAACAAAAGTAAAAATAAAGAGGTGGGACTACATCAATCTTAAAAGCTTGCTCACAGCAAAACAAACGATGAACAAAATGAAAAGGCAACCTATGAAATGGAAGAAAATGTTTGAATTCATGTGTTTTTAGCAAAGAAGGATTTATGCCATTATCTCCAAGAAACGTGAATCTATCTTTGCCTACCATTTCAAATTTAAATAAATAAGTTTAGCTTAAATGATCAGATTTCATTGTAGTGTGCTTTCATCATACAGTATTAATTAAATCTAGATTTGCTGATTTAATACATAGCTGCAGTAAAGGACAGTGTTTTTTTTTTTTTTAATAAGCAAGCTGTTCTTTGTCTCAAAACTTTCTTCAAAAGATCATGAGATATAAGCAGAAAGTTTTTTTTAAATTATGTATAAATGTTTTTTCCTGTTTTGAATGTTTTGACTGATATGATAAATGCCTGAAAAATACAATTATTTGTCTTCTTTCTTGATAAGATGTAATAGAATCACATTGCTTTTTCTGGTACAGGACCAGATTCAATAGTGTACACTTTGTAAAATCAACAACAAAGACATATTTAGTTTCAGAGAAAACATTTTAACTCAATGAGAAAGATGGCCATACATCCTCTGACAATCTTAACAAAAATTGCACTGTCTGAAAAATGTTTCAAGAGTGGTATCTCACAAATGGAAATTTGGGTAAATGTCAATTTTGGCCAGTCAGTATCTTGCATTTGAGATGATATATGGCTTCCAAGACTGTTGGCTATTTTCTTTCTTGCAAATTTCTACCTAGGTCTGACCTTATTGATGTATTTTAAATATGCTGGAAAAATTGATCCCTTTATGTACAATTTTAATGGAATTGGAATGTCCTTTTATCTATTTCTAATTAGTCAGGAATTTTTTTTTTTTAATTCACACAACAAAAGTAACTCCATGGCTGCTTTCTATTTTTTTTTCTGAAAGAGTAACTGTACTGATTAAATAGGGCGACAAAAAACACTGCTCCTATCACAGTGAAACCAATTTTCTTTTAGATTTAAATATTTACTTACAAGGCAGGTTTTATAAGATTGTGAAGTTGTATCAAGCGAAATTTCTGGGAAAACTATACAGTTGGGAATTTCTCAGGCTGGATTTACAAAAGGAAATAAACACAGATTATATATCGAACTCTCTGAAAGTTATGATGCAGCTCAGATGAAGACTCTATGGTACCACTCCTTTTTTTTTTTCATCCCCTGAGTCAGCCTCTATTGAAATTTCAGCAAGCTGTTCCACTAGCCTCTATACAGAACTTGGCAGGGGTTGCAGCTAGCAGTCGGCAGCAGCCGAAGTCATTTCTCTTTGACAGAAACCATAAAGCCAAACACTGTAATAACTTCTCTGATGGAGTTTTAGTGGTGGAGCTCTTTGTCTTGTTACCGTTGCTGTTCACTCTCCAACTGGGCCTTCACCTGGGGGAATGATTACGACGCTCTGTGGTCTCTGTTTCCACCTGTGACCCTTGAGCAACTGAAGAGTGGTAATTTTTCCTCAAAATGAATTTGATACCGGGAAAATCATGCTGTCAGAGAATGTCCTCGGTCTCTAAGGACCTCTCAGAGTTGCAGCAGTGGCCTTCTAAAGTAACAGGAGGCAAACTCATCCGTGACTGGATGCTCTTTCTTTTCTCTAACCTTTGACACAGACAATTGGAAAGGATCATTTACAGCAGCCGTCCATGACTTCAGGCTCGGATGCGGGAGAGGAAAAGAAGATAATGTAGTAATAATTTAGGTTTCCTCCCTTTTCCCTATTGCTGGATTTTAGCTTTGCATGTGTTCTTACTGTAACTGAGCTAAAGGTGAAGTTCAGCAATGAACTGGGATGTTTTAGCTGAAATTTTGAAACTTACGTGGGAAGTCCTTGTGATTGTCCTTTGAACTCAGAAGCATGGTGTCTCAAAAGATTAGCTTAGGATACCCTCACCCAGATAAATCATTATTATAAGCAGGAAACAAAATGAAAGACTATCGTTTTATGAGTTTTTGAAGACAGTGCTTCTTAGTTCATGATTTCTTTATGTTATGGCAACGATCTCAAATAAGTGATGCTATGTAAACTGAGTCATGCCCCACCTGGGATGACTCAAAAAAAAAGGTGCAAATATTATATTGGATAGAGTCGGAACTCTATAGCAGTCCTCTAAAACACTGCTGAAATTGTTTCAGTAGTCACTTAATTTGGTTAGATTCAACCTACAGTCAGCTACGCTGACATGGACACCGGGTCATATCACAACATTGTCCTTTATGCCTTAGCTCCCAGCTTCTTTCAGTTTGTCCTGCACACATGTGGATCAGGGCTGAAAGAGATGGAATGGGTTCATAAATCTGCAGTTGCCTTTTCCTGGTTCTTTCTATTCAGGCGACATTCTCATTTTCTGATGGCACTAGTTTCCCTAGGTCCTTCGCCTTTGCCATCCCCTAAGAGAGAGTGTTTAGTGTTTTGAGAGGTTGTTTTGTTTGTTTGTTTGTTTTGTTTTTCATCATCTGTCTTTTTTTAAAAGACTTTTTGGACTATTTTGTTTTACATGTGTCTCTTGTATATTATATATAGTTGAATCTTGCTTTGTAAGCAAAGGGGACATTTATTTTCCTCTAAGAGATGAATTAAGTTACGACCTTTACCAAGGATCTCAACTCCATCATAATAGTTTTTTATCTTTATTACTGTGGGTTACTTAATATCAATTCTTTCTCTTTCTATGAAATTGTTTTGTTTTTATTTTATTTCATTTGGTGTTTTAGAAAGTGTACTTTTTGCATAGTATTTGTCTTTGAATTTACAACATATTGTAACGCTCTTATTTTCCCATGTTTCATTTAACATTTTATGTTTATGTTTTTAAAGGCATCTGCATGCAGCCTCTACAACCATCAGTGAGAATATTCTCCCTTCCTATTTTCCTATTCACTCTCTTCCTATTTTTATTATTCTAATTTTCATATATTTCTGAACAGGAAACATTTACCTAGTATTCTTTCATCCCTATCATTTCCCTTATTTTAGACTTAGATTTACAATTAGGTCTGTATATTTAATGCTTACCGTTAGGTTTTTTTTGCCAATTTCCAAATTTACTTCTTTGTTGTGTGAAGATCATATTTTATTATTTTGTTCAAGAATAAATATAATTTTCCTTGAGTTAATACATGTTTAAATAATATTTAGACCTTGATAATTAAAGAATAACATTTATTGGTTCCAAGTTTAAGATTTTTGAAATTGCAGCTACACTGTTGTTTTCATTTATATGCTTTCGAGAACTCTAATTATCTTATCTTTTTATTTACCTGTTTCTCTTGCTAGTGGACCTGAGGGTTTTGCCCCCTCTAATCTACTAGTTTGATTTGGATGTGTTTCAAATTGATTGACATACGGCAATTTTCCCAAGAATTAAATGGGTCCATTTTGTTTGTTCATTCAGGTCTGCTCCCCCACTGCTCCTTCTCCAGCATCGTCTTCTTCATTCTTGGCCTCTTTCTCTTCTCATTTTTTAATCAATGAGATGTTCTTGGATTATAGTTTGACTGTTATTTTTCTTTCATGGTTTTTCTTTTTCAGAAAGTCCAGTTATACCTATAATAGCTCTTCTTTGATGCTCCTCGCTTTCATCTATTCTTATTCAAAACTGTTTTTCTGTCTCCTTGGTATGCTCTTGGTTACTTTCCTGCTTTTTTCAATGCCTCTAAGTTTTTACTAGAATCTACTTCTCTTTGTTACCTTGTGAATTACTTTTAATTTCTATATGATATTACCTTAAATTTTTTAAGAAAAAAATTTGTTACTCTTTTTTTGTCTATTCTTTTCTTAGCTTTTGAATTTCTGATCCATGCTGGGTTTTTTCCCATATAACTAAATACTTGTTTGAGCATATTTAATTCATCCTAAAGAGTTTTTTATGGTTTATTTTTTCTATGTATATGCTTTGGGGTTTTTGTAATCAGTTATTGTGTTTTCATTTCAATGTTTTATATTTTTGTTACAATAGTTTGTAAATATATGTTTTTTTTTTTACAAAGGATTTCTGACAGTTTGGAATAATTTTCAAGATTCCTATATCAATAAATCTTTATTTTCTTAGTATTCTGAAGTTTGATACCTTTAAAGGCTAATTTTTGGTAGAATGGGAAGAAGGTATGTGTTCTTTGGTGTTTTTTAACTTTTTCTTGCAGAAAATTAAGTCCCTTCCTTTTTCCTCAGTTTTCCTCCACAGCTTAGTTTCCAAATAATGTCTCACCTTTCCTACTAAACATCTTCTCCCCAGAAATGCTCCCTTAACAAGAATGCTCCTTGAATTCCTACTTGCCTTGTTAAGTCTTTTCTGTGGATTCAGTGTTTTGTTAGACAAGAACTTTTTCTTTTCAATTTTTTTACATAGAAGATTAACTTTCTCTTTTGAAGTGATTTTAAATAAATAGTAAGCACTCTGCTCCTGTATTTTTTTCTTTCATGCTGTTTTTTTCACAGCCCTCTAACTAAAATTTTTTCTACCTAAAATTTGAGCCAAGAGTTAAGGGATGTAGCTGGTGAAAAATGGTTACTTTTTTTTTTTACTCATGGGTTATGAAGTTGGTAGTGTTCTGTTTTCTGCTTACACTGATATGTGGGTTTTGTCTGGTGTAATTGGTACTTCGAACTTGTACAGTTTTTAGAGATCATGTTGAGATAATCATATTTACATATCTGTCATTACTTTGGCTACTTAGTTTTGTTTAATGAATAACATTTATGACAAATTTGCTTAATTATATAAAGGTTTTTAAAATGTTTTCAGTAACCATGCATCTCAAAAATAAATACCATTTAAAAGTGGTTAAAAAAAAAGTCACCAAACTAGGATAAGAAAGAAAGAAAATACTGGGGCAAAGGCTAGAGGTCAGTACATCAACAAAAGTAATATTTTCTTCTTGTTTATATCTCAATATTGTTGCTTTAATTAGTATAATACTAAATATGCATGGACATGTTATTATAGATATTTAGCAAGAGTATCCTAACATTTCCCAGTAAAATGAACAACTTTTATTAGCTGAGACTATTTTAAATGCTGTAACTCCAATCTGGTATGAAACAATGTGTAATAGGCATTAGTCTTTAAAATGATAGAGATTTTGGCTTCATGCATGCATTTCACCTCTAATTTTCCAATTGACAAAGTGCCTCTCTTTAAGCATCAAAATGTAAATGTTATCTGTGCTTGTCTCAGAGCTTGTCCATGTTTTACAGCTGCTTCTAGGAAATATGCTTAGGATTTAAGCACTTACTTTAGAATGTGAGCAGACAGATGCTCAAAAGTTGTAAAGCATTTAATGTAGAGCTTATGCTGGACTGTGTATGAGCATATTTTAACTTTTATGCTTTCGTGAGACAACTATTTTATTTTACTTTTCTACAGAACACAATTGAACACTTTGATTTTTTTTTTAATTCACCCTGTCTGATTTTACACTATGTTCCTCTTCCCTACCATGACAAAATATACAGGATAGTTCTTGAATACTAAACAAATACGTTCCTTTTTTGGAATATGACAGACTGGAAAATACATTTTATACAGAGTATAATTTGAGCATCTTTCTCCCTTCCTAAATGTGTTAACGTTAACAACTGTTAAGAGTCTTCAAATTAAAGCAACATCCAAACATAATGTAAAAATAATCATTAATCACTAAATAAATGGCACTATATATGATATATTTGCCATGTTTTCAAGATATAAATATTCCATTATGCATTTATTTTGTAGAGATTTTCTGAACTATTTCAACATGACTTTTATTAAAGTTGAAAATAAATGTTAATATAATAATTAAATTTGGAGACATATACAACAAAGCTCTTTTTCATAAATATCTACAAAGGAACAAATATTCACATGTTCGAAATTTTAGTTCTAATAATATATTGATGAAGCTATGCATATTCTATTTATTTGTTATCTCTATTGGGAAAAAATTGTATTTTGGTACAGGGCAAGGAATATAATTTTGTTCAAGAAACTATGAACATGTTCAAAGAATGATGGTGGCATATCAAAAGAACTCAGGAAATTTTCAGAGGTGGGGGCTTACTGACCTATTTTGGGACAATTTTAGCATCAATCTAAATAGATACTGGTAGATTACCATCAATTAATAGCCAAAAGTTCACAAACTCATTATAATGTAATAAATAAATGAGTAAGAAGGGAAAACTCTCCTGTACAGAATAATGCCAAATAATAAATAAGGAAGAAATGACAGAGTTAAAAATTCATCAGTGGCTACTAAAACTAGTGGAAGAAAAAATAGATGATAAATTGGAAACGTACATAATCGTAGATTATCTCACTATAAATTACTTACTAATTACAAAGAAAAAAGTGGTAATTTTACAACACAGAAATCCAAGAGACACCATCTTAAGCTACAGGTTACTTACCATTACAGATATTATGTAAACTGGCATCACTTAACTACTGATGTGATGCACTTAAAAGATACAGTATTGCATTTGTAGCATTCATTCTAAGAAGTCATAACATGAATATAATCAATCCAATTTGAAAGACATTAAAAAAATTGATCCTTTTTTTCAATCATGTAAAGGTCACAGAAGGACAAAACAAAACAATAAAGACCAGAGAACTGTCTCAGATTAAAGAGACATGGAAACTTAACTGTTATTTAAGACCTGTCACTGGATCCTAACATGGAAGTAGATAGTAATTAAGGCCACTATTCAGACAATGTCCTTCATTCACTGAAATGTGATTACTGACTCTGGACGAGAAAATATTATTACACCAATGTTAAATTTCTTAGTTTTATTAATTATATTGTTATGCAAGACCATGTCCTGATGTACCTAGACATAAAGAGGCATTATGTCCTCTATTCACTCTCAAATGGTGCAGGAAAAAAATAACATATACATATGTAATGCACAGATGTCATCTTAGAGGGAGAGGGAGAGTGACAGAATGGTGAAACAAATGGGACAAAAGGTAAACAATGGATACATCTGAGTAAAGGGTATACAGGAGTTTTTGTTACCACTCTTGCAATAGTTCTATGTTTTAACTTACTTAAAAATTATATGTTCACAAGGGACTTATAAATTAAATGTTTTTAGAATAAATTTTGTTAATAACAATGGTATTTATAAATATTTGAAAATGAATACCCGATTATGATCCTTTTAGTTATTTCCTGGAATAGCTGCAATTTCATTTTTAAGCGTATATACTGTTATGTTTTATAAATTATAAATTCAATCATTTAAAATGAATAACTGTTTCTCTCTACTGAGCAGAAAATTCATGACAGGTATTCACTCTTAATCGAGAGTGTGGATGCTTGGAGGGCTTAAGAAATAGTTGTCTCCCCAAAATTATTTGCAAAATTTAACGTATACAAGCATTTTTCTGTGTAGATGTTTTTGAAATTTATATTGAATTGTTAAAAGGTTATATTAATGAAAAAGTGTGGGAACCACCTCAAATTCAACTTTCCTTGATCATTATCCAATGGTATTTTTGTTCTTGGTTTGTATGGAAACATTTTACTTTTGCCATTACTCCCTGCACACGCTCTTTTACCATTATAAGTTCACTATGCCTATACCTACACCTGTGTTTGTGTGTCTTGCTTTTTTTTTTTTCATCCCTAAGTTCTCTCTTTGGTCTCCATTTTTCTTTTCTAAATCACTTTACATGTGTTCTTTGATAAGAAAAAATAATCATCAGAACTCACAAGTTTATACCACCAATTAACATTTCAGCTAAATATTAACACCACTTTTAGGATTATGTAATGTAGGTAGTAATGAGCAATTGAGATGGATGCCAAGAATATGGGTATTTACAATGGATCCTGAGATAGCTCTGTACCAGTTGAATGTATATTTGCAAAATAAAAGACAGTAGCACAGCAGAAAACATTTTTTCTATTTAATTATTCCTAGTTCTGGTCAATTACATTGTAAAATAAACTTTGTTTGTGTATTATCTTGCTTGCTGTTAATGTAAAATATTCTCTTTTTTGGTCAATTTTTAAAGCATGCAAAGCAGATGATTCTCCACACAGAATCTTAAAAAAGAATTTATGAAATATTCATGGAAAGATAAATTTAGTAGATATAAAATTGCTTTTTTAAACATTAAAACATAATGCACATCATGAAATGTATTCTATCATGTTCACATTTTGCAAAATGTAAAATACAATTCTAAGCCTACAATAAGAATGCAGAAACATCTAGTTGTTGACTGTCCATTTATAGATTGGTGGAATTTTATGTGTGTGTATATGTGTGTGTGTGTATGTGTATAAATATATAATAAATGCTTTTCAATGTGTATTTTCATCTGCTTTTCCAAATAACCTTTCAATTTCACTTTAAGCATATTATTAATTAAGAAAATACCATTCCAATCCCACTGGTTAATCATAGTGTTAATAAATAAAATAAGTTATTTCAATTACTTGAACCAATGCAGATTTGTTATCTGAAAAACAAAGCAATAGTCCACAAATATTAGTTCCCCTCTATGTTCAGATAAACATATGAGATAAAAAATTAGCTTGTTTTTAATTAAATATATTGACTATCTGTGTTTGCATCTTTGTATGTGTATAAAATCTGTTCTCTGATTCTCTCCAAGTGTTCAACCTGAAATTAAAATATTTCAAATAAACTTTTGTGTTAAAAAATAGCTTGTCTTGTTACTCCCCTCCCCAATTTTCCATTAAAATACATACTTAATAAAGAAAATGATACATGGTTTCAATGCTACGAACAAGTTAGGGTGACATATATTCTTGATATCCTCAATGTTATTTCTGTTAAGTGAAATCATGGAAGAATGTGGCCTAATTGATCATCAACTATCATTTGTAACTGGGTGAATAGCACAGTTAATTGGAAAAGTACAAAATATAGTTTCAAACAAGCCATTATTGTTTCACCAAACAAAATATTCAACAGTATTAGTCTTACTACTTTGAAGGATGCAGATTCAGTCTCCCTCCTTGTGCTTTATCACTGTTCCCCTTTCCTTTCTCCTTGATGATTTTCTCCCTTTTTCCTTTCCTTTCTTCTTTCTGCTTTTTCCTTTCCCCCATGGTTTCTGTCCACTTTTTATTATTTATGGAAACAAATTACTGACATTTTCAAGATTCAGAGCTTATATATGGTCCTGATTAATAGCTCAATCAACATTAGATGAAATGACATATACAAAAGAAATAAATATCGATTTAACCCTTGTCTTATTTTGTTTTGAATTATTGTTGTTAGTTCTAGCAGCTTAGCTTTTATCCTAATCTATTAGTATGTTAATTATAGAGATTGGAAATTTGACAAGAATTTAAAATAACTTTGCTAGTATTATTCAGCAACTACTAGGTAGTAGCTTGTATCTTTGAACATGTTTGTCTTGCTGAAAATCCACACACTTAAACATCTTGAGATACTGCCTCCCATGTGATGCCTATTAAATAGACAGATAAAAATCACATTATCACCAAACTTTGCGGCTGAGAGCCTATTTTCGTGGTATGAGAGCAATATATGCAAAAACAAAGCAGGTGGATTTAGGCTGAACTTTTGAATGAGTGGTTTATTTATACTATCCTAAGATACTAATTTAGAAAAAATCTTATCCCTTATTCCTCTCTAATAATTATTTTAGAAATATAATTCTGTGTCAAAAAGAAATGCTGACTGACAGTTCTTCTTTGGTAGTGGTTAATATCTTTGTTTACTTCTAGGATTCTGTGTTGAC